CCCGGAGCACAAGCCCTTCCAGCCCTCTCCTCCTCCCCGTCCTCGGACACGTTCGCTCTGAGTCGTTAAGAGAAAGATCTCGCAATTAGGAGAACTGCGGTTGGTCTATTTATCTGTGTGACGCTAATTACAAGAAATCTGTATTAAATTTATTTTCCAGTTTAAATCTGGAAAGGTCTTAATGAGAGAAATATCTAAGAAGGGAGAAAACCTTCCGGTTCTTTTGTTAGGGTTGGGTAGAGTTTTCTTAGCAGGATGTTCTTCAGTCCTGTTTCGTTCTTCTTTTGAGAACATCAAAACGACCAAAGCTTTCTTTTCCCCCGCCGCCTCTCCTGCCCCATCCCCATTTCTCTGCTTCCTTCGGGACTGCAAACTTGCTTAGTTGTTAGGATAACGCCGCACCGCCTGGGCTCAGGACCGACCCCACGTCTCGCACTGATGCTATTCGCTGCTCGTAGTTCTGGTACACGGATAGTTTGCCCGTCTTCTAGGTGCCACCACTGCACGTTTCGCGGCATTTCCCTGGGGATTCAGGTCCTCGGTAAGTCCCACGGTAAGTGCGGCCAGAGCAGCTGGTACCAGCCGGGCCGGGTTCCGGGGCAGCAGCGCGCGGCGCTCGTGCTCCAGATGCTCCTGCGCGCTGTTTCGGCAGGAGGGGCGGGGGGCCGTGGCGTGCCGCAGAGGCATCGCTCCCTTACCGCAGGGGCCAAGGCCTCCTGGCCCCACCTCGGTGCTCCCGCCGCGTCTCCAGCAGCAGGGCCTTCACGTCCAGGGTCCCGCACCCAGCACGGTGTTACGTTCCCACAAACGTGATCGCTCGGCTGCTGCTTCTGGCAGTTCTTTTCGTACCGTTTTCCTGCTTTGGAAAGGAGCGTTCTTTACAGCACACCTGATAGCTGTGGAATAAACCAAGCTCTGATTGTGCCCAGTATTGATGAACCCCGAGCAGTTGTGGTATATAAGCGTAATTTTGAATGTGGATATTTGTTGCATATAGCAGTTGTTCAGTCATCCAAGCATATACAAGAAAATTATCTGATTTTGAATTATTTTCCAAATTTCACGTTTCTTGGCTGGGCGACTTCCAGCCAGCTTGCTGTCTGTCCTTACAGCATATATGTTATAGCTCTAATGATTTTGCATTCTGTTTCTTTATACTGCTTCATATCGGATAATTTACAATTTGTACTTAATTCATCTTTGTCCCCCATAATTTGCCTTTTATAAATGGTGGCCTTAGAATTTGCAGTGTGTTTGTGTGAACTCTGAGCGGGGGGAAGGAAAAAGAAGTGTAATGAGATGAGAAGATAAGATAGCATGAGGATGCTAGTTTCTAAAGAGCAAATACTATACCGAGTCACGTTAAAATAGATAAGGTATAATCCAATTTAATTTTGCCAGTAAATCTTATTAGCATTTTCCATTACATTTTTATACAGCAAATGCTGATTTATAGATGATAATCTTCAGCTCCCGCCTTTGAACAAACTACTAGTGTCTAGATTAGCAAGATTTTAATGTCATCTGAAAACTGGTCTCTAACTATGCATACGTTACTTCATTGACTCCCTCCTGGTTTGTAAATGACTTATTAAATAATAGCAAAGGCAGCTGCGAAATGCTGGAGTCTCCAGAAGCGACGACGAAGAATGAGATGTATGCATCATGAAGCTAGCGTTTATTTTAATTTATGTAACATTATCAATTCCCTGCATAAATAGCAAATGTGAACTTGTAAAGTGGACTTGTATTGCCATATTTGTCCTTTTTAGATGTCCTTACAAAGCACACTAAGAGTCTGGTCTTCTCTGACTGTCTTTTAAACAGCTCAGTTAGAGCTGGAGCTTGTGGACTCCACTGAAATAAGATCCGGTGGCTTAGAGGGAAAAAAGCATTCAGTTGGGAATTAAAAGGCAAAAATTTGATTTCAGCATTTTTGAATCCCGTCAGGCTGCAAAACGAGGGCCAGAGTCAACAGTGCTTAGTGGGGAGGTGAAAATTACAGTTCCCGCGGTGAGGAAGCCCCGCTGGTGCCAGGAAGCGGCCGTGCCGTGGCAGGGCAGGTGCTCTCAGCGCTCGGCCGTTCCTGGAGGGGTGGTCTCTCTTCCTTGGGGTTTTTGCTGGCAGGACAGGAGGGAGGGAGGGCAGATCTTTATTTCTGCGCCAGGACTTCCACGTAGCCTGTCTGGCACACGTTGCTTCAAAGGAAATAGTGAGCTAGCACAGCCGGCCCTGTTGTCGAGCGGCAGCAGCGCGCCTGCCTCCGCGCGGGGCTGCAGTCTGAGTAAGAGACAGCTATTCTGTGAAGTTTTGTAGGCCGTAAATACAGGCAACGTGAAGATAACTCAAAATGTTTTAGCTATTCGATCATGTTTTCTTGCAAAAGTATTTTTTCAGTACAAACTGTTTTTTCCATTAGATTTTGCAAGAATTGAAAATGCCAATTGAAATGAGTAGGCTATAGGATAACCTGCAGAAACGGTATTTAGCTTAGGAGCCATGCCCTGCCTCGGTGTCACTGGTGGCCGGCTGCCCGGTCCTTTCAGGGCTGGGGGCTCAGTGGTGGCTCAGGGCTATGCGTTCTAGCTAATCCCAGTCCTTATTTGCAAGTTTTTTCATCATGTCTAATGTGAATCTTTCCTGCTGCGTTGCAACTCCAGTCTTTGCCTGTCCTCTGAGGCACAGAGAACAGATTAGTCTCACCGCTGACTCGCTTTGAAGGCAGTTGACTTGTTCTCATCACGTTTACCTTCCTACGTTCACCAGCCCTGATTCACAGTAAAACGCTTTGAAAACGTGACCCAAGAATGAAGATGAGACGCTACTTTTCTGTAGATCACTTGGTGACAGGGAAGGTCTTTCCTGACTAAGGTGTTTATAACTTGAGCTGGTGTTGCAGGAGAGCTGTTAGCTGGCTCAGCACGTGGCAGGATTGGTTCTGATGTCTGTTCGTGTATCTGGCGATGGCCTTTGTCGCTGCTGCGAGGCAGGACTCTGCGGGGCTGTAACCCGCTGCAGCCTCCGGTGGCTGCTGGGGACGGGCTGGCTTCTTCTCCGTCTTGTGTTTGAGCAGTTGCTTGTTC